TGATATCGTCTCTTCCAATATGTCTGTTAACAAGTACGGTACTGTACTTATGTTTTGGTGGTACTGTAATGGTCACTGTTGATGTTGGAGTGTGACATTTTTGCCTTATTAATGTACAGAGCTATGAATATTTTTGACTTCATTTTGAATATACTAACGTGATCGACCATTGATCAGCCAAATTTTCAAAATTTTCAAACTAAAATATCTCAATTGGTTTTCATGGCATTTCATTGAAACCAACATTTCCGGAAAGCTGACGGAAAGCTCTTTCGCGGCATATTCAAATGTATCAATTTAAACAATACTTGGCAGGCCAAAAAAATGTCAAAGTTCGGCACTTTACACAGTCGATCATTGATCGGCCAAAATTTAGACTTGAATTAAGTATTGAAAAAAGTTGGGTCAATTTTTCGCTCCAAAAATTCAAATACTATGTCTCAAAGGTTTACTAAATTTCAACAGGTATACGTATTCAGAGTAAGAGCTGCAAGTATTGTTCAACGTTAAATTGTTTACCTCCATCATATTATACAGGTAAAACTTATCACAAGGATTTATTTTGTCCAATGAAACATCGTATTAATTTCAATTGGACGAAACACCTTGGCCGATCGATGGTCATTTGGCCGATCAATGGTCGATCACGTTAGTATGTAGTTTACACTCGTTTGTCATACTTCGAAGTACTAGAGTAGTCTCTACTATGCACTTCATAGTCAAAGGATCCAGTACGTACTTCGCAATATTGTCTTTCTTTTACCCCAAATTTGGACTTTTGTGCGGATTCCCCATCGATCGATTCGTTGTACTGACTTTTGTATGTAAAAATGGTCGAGTCTGAAATTTATTTCACACACTAAATCGATGTGGAATTGATCGAAGAGTGGATTTGATTGGCTACTGGATTCGTCTAGTGGTTTTTGATTGGTCGATTGATTGTCTGCCGGTTTGGAGCTGCCCATTCGATTGAGCATCCCACTCAATATTATTGTCGGACACAATAAACGTGTGAAAAACACTTCGATCGAGATATAATAAATACTGTAGTGGGTTAACTATCTACCAGCGCACGCTGATGGGCTGCACCACGTCCGTCCATTCCTGGGGTAAACATGAACGGCTCCATGTCTTCCAGGTACTCGAGTGCTTAGAATAATCGCTCGTCGTCTTCGGTACTCTCACCCGCTTCCGTTACTAGAGTCAGAACGCCCTGTTCTGTCATGAACATCACCACTGCCCTGAAGCCTCGGGTAGCAGCATTGGCTGCAGCTAGTAGGAGGTTGTTGTGCCTTTTAGAGGCTTTTCCTCAGATAGTAGATAGCCAGCCATATCCACGGTACATCATTAGGATGCCGTGTCCTGATTGGCTAGCCATTAGCTAGTCCGTCTAGCCTTTAGAGCCAGTTGTTCTCACTGGTAGCTAGGCTAATTCACTTTCCGTTTCACCCGCAACCACCCAGAGTTCCCCCTGGCTTTTGCACCTTCCCACTACTAGCACAGGACACCCTCGTGGAGATATTACATCGTGCCCGACGTGGGCCACTACTGTAGCTGCGCCAATTGCGATATTTGGCTGGACAGCGAGATCAGCGCGGCCTTCATGCCAGCCGCTTCATCGCGCAAGGCGTCGACTTCGCCCAAGCTGGTCACGTCGTCGCAGATCTCGGAGAAGTTGGTTTTCCGCTTGATTTTAGTCATGAGATGGGGTTTGTGATGGTTAAAGTGGGGGTGGCGGAACACCAGTGTCTTGCGCTGGGACTCGTGGGCGATGAGCAACACCACGTCGGACTTGCACAAGTACTTGGGCAGCATGAGCTGGGCAAAGTCGACTGGGCACTTGATCTCAAAGGCGCTGCCGCCGCGGCACCACCCGCCAACATACGGCGGCGTGATACAGTATGACGCCGCCGTATGTATGTGCTTTCTATGGTCTGTCATGATGTACTTTGCGACGTTGAAGAGCCGTTCAACCATGTTGCTCGTTGGACCGACAAACTTCAAGCAGCAGTACTTGCTTGCTGTTGGTCCCATTCGGCGACTTTTGGAGCCAAAAGTTCGTCCGCGTAGCTCAACGGCGTGCTGGGGACTGCAACCATGCCAGGATCCAACAGGAGCATGACCAATGCATCCTTCTCAGCTGCAGTCAGGTGCGTAACGACACCATTGTCAAAATGGTGGGGCGAAGGTGTATTGAGGATAATTGGACGAAGCTTGAAAATAGATTATCAATATCTGCTGGCACTAAAAATAGATTATTCCATCCCACGTCACATAAGAAATAGATTATTTTTGCTATGTTATCTAGATTATTATCTCAAAGATATATTAAGTCCGAAGCCTGGTCATACTCATCATGTCGAACATCTTCTTGACGAACATGGCACCAGAGCTCAAAGATGATGGAGGGGACATGTGATGGATGTGAGTGAGAAGGCTTGTTGGAAATTGAATTATGACGGTGGAATGAAATATGTAGTCTTTTCGCGCTTGTTTTAACGGCATGAAACAGCCACTAGAGAGATTTCGCAAATGAGCCGTTGCCGGTGACAGAGCCACAACCTTTGTCACTTCATAATTCTACGGCAAACCTCTGAATCATAATTTTGGTTGCCACAGAAACGGCCAAATGTACGGAGAGTCGTGCCATAGCCAGAAACAGCCAAAGCTCAATGGCGCACACGGACAAGCGTCGTAACTGGTCGCAAGAAGACGACCTCACCCTTCTCAAGCAAGTGGCAGCCGATACTCCATTCGCTGCAGAGAAAGGGCAGCTCAGAAAAGCTTGGCAAGGACTTGCGGAAACACTCATGCCGTGCGAGAACTTCGGCCGTGTCGTCGACGGGAAGAAGGTACAGAATCGATTCCTGGCCCTCGTCGACGAGCATCGAAAATTCGATGCAACGTCAGCCCGTCTTTCTGGTTCAGACCAGGAGGAGAAGGAGAAGCATATGCTCCTCGACGACATCATCACGCTGCTGGATGACGTGAAGGCCGAGCAGCAAAAGACAGAAGCTCAAAAGCGCTCCCAAGATCAAGATGACAAGGATAAAGTCGAACAAGGTGGGCTTATAGTCCGCGAAATGGCTATGAAAACGATGAAGCGAAAATGCGACCCTGAAGGCGACGATCCAAAGCGTCCTGCGCTCGAGAACCGTCGCAACAGTCTGGCCGCTGCGATTTTGGCAGAGAGCGAACGTGACGCAGTCGCGCGAGAGAAGCAGCTCGCTTTTGAGCGCGAGAAGTTTGAATCGGAGCTTCAGCAGCGTCAGCTGGACCGTGAGGATCGAAAGGCTGAGCGTGAGCACCAGTTGGTATTGGCGAACATTGAGAGCGCAAAAATGACCAACATCATTAAGGTGTTGTTAGACAGTAAAAAGTAATCATGACTTTGGACATTTCAAATTGTTATATTTCAACAATGTCACTGAATTCTGATGTCAAGTATTCCTTGAGTGTCGGTGGGTCCATGCCAAAGTAGGATGAAATTTGGTTTCCCCCGTGGTAGCAGCAATTACAATTGGTCATGAACATAGCCACGAGAACCACCGCCCCAACATTGGATAGCATAATCTTTTGCTGCATTTTGTAGGTTGTAAATCCCCACAAATTTTTCATTCGGCCGAAGTTCCATTCGACTCCTTGGCGGACATGACTTTGGACATTTCAAATTGTTATTTTTAAACAATGTCACTGAATTCTGATGTCAAGTATTCCTTGAGTGTCGGTGGGTCCATGCCAAAGTAGGATGAAATTTGGTTTCCCCCGTGGTAGCAGCAATTACAATTGGTCATGAACATAGCCACAAGAACCACCGTCCCAACATTGGATAGCATAATCTTTTGCTGCATTTTGTAGGTTGTAAATCCCCACAAATTTTTCATTCGGCCGAAGTTCCATTCGACTCCTTGGCGGACTCGGCTCATGGCGGTGTTGAAGCGTTGTTTTGCTCGTCTAAATTGTTGCCCTTGTAGCCAGACACGATCCATTTCGAAATGAGATAGGCAGGGTCCCCGTAAATATAGTAGCCATGGAAAATGTTCGAATTGGCCTCAAAGTACTCTTGCAGCTGACTTATGCGGAGGAACGTCACATCATGCCGACTGCCTTCCAAGGGGCCATAAAAGTGAATACACAGACCATCCGGGGTCGTCAACCCTTGGAAGTTGAGGCAGTGCATGCGTTTGTGGCCTGAGGACGTCCGTTTTCCAAGTTCAATCCAACTGCTCCATTGGCGGATGCGCTGATGCAACACGTTTCAATCTTGGTCCCATCGGGAAAAGCCCAAACATTTGAAAGTGGTGACTCTTTTGCCTGAATGACTCTGGCATACTGCGCAATTCGGGCACGAACAATACGCTTGTTGCAGTAGATGAGATCTCGCCATGACGTGTAGACAAACTCGATCATGTGGTTGAATATGCGGCGAAGTTGCTCACGGGACCGGCCAAATGTTGAAAGCATGTCGTAAAAAGTGATGGGGTAGCGAAGGCGTTTGAGGAGAATTGCCATATCCTCCACACCAGTAACTCGATCCCGTGATGATGTGATCACAACGTTTGGTACGCCAAGCAGAGACGTGAGCTCAAGAACCCCTGAGACGTCGAAACGAAACGAGAGTACGGCGTCAGCATCACGCATGTTGATGTCAAAACTGACGACAGGAATCAAAGGCCGCTCCACAGGTAGACCAAGGCCAAACTCCAGAAGCATTGTAGTTGTAGCTGGACTGAGCTTCTTCCGCTTCTCCCACTTGTACACCCGAAGCGCTAGATCGGATTCGGCCGTACTCATTGCAGACACAAAGCAAATGTGTGAAGTTGTGATTGCATCAAGTTACAATCTAAATGCGTACACTTCACTGGCAGCCATTTTGTGAAATGACCAAAACGGCCTTGCCATTGCCGTTGCCGGATCGGATTCTGGTTCTATGGCACTGGCAATGGCTGGTTTGCGAAATCTCTCTACTGTCGACTACTCCAATTGGAAAAGAGGGAGGCAACGCTCAACGATTAGACGATTTTTAGCGTCGCATGGTGTGTTAAACGTTGTGGAAAATGTACCGGTAATAATAAACACAGTGTAAGAGAACCCTTGCGACGAAAAAGGACTCTAAAAAGTGTACCGTATAGTAGTAGATCGTTGGCATTATGAAAAGTCTATTTGTGTCGCGGGGACTCTGAAATGATGGAGTAAATTGCAGTACCGGTACAATAATGTCAGTGATGGAGCCAGCGTCGTCATCGTTGAAGGACGTGGCTTTACATAACTGGACGGATGCATGAATCCGCTGAGAGTGTCGAACATTCGTCGGCAACTCTCTCTCTCTGTGGGGCCAACCAACAACCAACTCTACAGTAAGCCTCTATAGCAAGACCATTCGTCGAGAGGTTTGTAGATATGTTCACTACTCTACACAAACAACAGCAGCTAGATTCGGGCACTTTTTGGCAGATATCCACGGCAAACCAAAAGAGATGGCTTACAGTTAAATACAAGACGCTAATGTTAGGTTAATGTTATCCTGCCGGATTCTCGTTGGATTTTACGTTCGAGACATTGGACTCTAATTACTGTTGTATTCCAATCAGAATACGCCTGATATGGCCAATCACAGGCGAGAAATGTTTTGGAGGACAGAAATCCTGTCGTCGTACTCGATGGTATTGTTTTCAATTGTATCTCACAAGATATTAAGTTTTAGACATGATATCCAATGAAGGTTATTCTAATTGAGCTGAGTTCTATATACATACAAATTTTCAGTAAAAAATTCAATTTGCAGCCCCTCGGTGCTGTCACCCACTGTAAACAACAGGGGACTACATTTAGCAAGAAGGTGATCACGAAGAATGTAATTGAGCATGCTATCTTAATTGGGTGTCATAACAAGGATACGTGTAATGGTCGGATGTATGTTGATGCTGCTGTTCGTCCATGAGCCGCGTTAAGTACGCCACTTGGTCGGTCAGAGTTGCCAGCTGCGCTCGGATACTTCCCACTTCCGCCCTCAGCTCGTGTTTGGTCTGGTCGTAGGTTGAAATGTTTCGAGTAGTATCGTCGTGTGGTGTCTTCTTGGTCTTGCGCGTGATGGCTGCCATGAGGTGGGGACGGAATTGGTGAAACAAGTTGTGATGAAACTCCCATGAGCTTGAAGTTTTGACTTCATTTGCAAGCAACGCCACGACCAACACGTCTGTCTTGGCCTTGCGGAACCCGTAAAAGTTGAGCTGCCGCACAAAGCTGTGAAAGTTTCTGTGCTTGAAGTACTTGGGCAACATCGTAGCTGCAAATTCCTTGGGCAGCTTGATCACGAACGACGCGCCGCCATTCGTCCACGCAGCAACGTGGGGCGGACACGCTTCGAGCATGGCCCATGTCTTGCGCAGGAAGAGAGCGGGCTTGGATGAGTCCATTATTGGGAGTGGTCTGCGGCGGTGGCGGCCAATTCCTGAGACTATTATTTACGATATTATGCACTTTACAGGCAATTTACAGTAATCTAAAGTTATCCCAGCGAAAACAAGAGCGACTGTTTGTTGACGGCAGTGTTTCCGCACGATTAGTTGACTCGAGTGTCTCAAAGTTCAAGTTCCAGAAAGGGTGATGAGTGTGATGCTTTGTGCAAGGGGAATGTCATCCCCACTTCGATATTATTCTATTCCGCTCCCATTCCCATTCCGGGCGTGGTTGTGCTCGTAATATCGTGGACAATCCACTCCGCTGGCGCCGGATGCGAGATGTAGTCTGCTACGTCGTGGGACTCCTCAGACCTATGAGCGTCTGTGGTTAAACGTGCACCTTGGAAAGAACGGATATGTCACGATGTGTCACAAAAGATAAGATTGAGCTACAGTATTCAAGGTACTGTACTCATTGAGTCTTAAAAATGATAATCCAAACTCAATTAATCAAGGTACTGTACCAGCATTACTGTACCCACTCGAACATGATCACTTGTGTTGAGAATACTATAATAGTACGTAGTAGTACGTAGTACCAGTAGTAGTACTACCTAGTATGTACTAGTACCATGTAGTATGTGTTTACAGCTGTACTTGTACACTGTACTATTACTGTACTACAACTAAGTGAGGAAATAGGAACTTTTCATAGCATAGCGCGACGACTCGAGAAACACAATACCACTCAACGGTACTATGAGTATACTACTGTAGTACTAGTACTACTAGTATCCCCCATTAGATTTCAACCAGCCGCCTTATGGTTATAGCACATCTGACTTTGCATTTGTAAACGGCACCATATTTGATCTACTGATCTTTTATGCGCATATTACGAGTTCGCGTACGACAGATGCACTCAATTGTTTAGTTAGGTCGATACCAAACATATCACCACAACTCCTCCCATACAAATATCAAGGTATTTCTTGGCTGGTGGGATATTCCTATCCCAATCACATTTCCACCATCTGGCGTAGTGGGTTTGTCACGTGAATAGCCAATCAAATTCGAAACTGACCAATCAAATTATAACGAATCATCTTCCTTGACGACGATTCAAGCAATTTGATTCGTGGATTAAGTATTATTTCAGCCAATCAATTCGATGCAAATCGAATCTCCCACTGTTTCCAGCCCAGCTTGAACTAATTGACAAACACAGAACACACCATCACATGTCCCATACTACTAGTACATACTAGTACTACATGAAAGGACAACTCCAAGTGATTACGAAAGGTCATTCGTGGAGCATTGTTCAATATTGGTCCAAGAGAGAAGCCATGAACGCGCGCCGCAAGGTGAGTTCCGCCGCGATCTTCCTCAAGAAGACGTACGACATGATCGATACCGCGCCATCGTCGGTGGCCGGCTGGAGCGACGACGGCGGATCGTTTATCGTGCGCGAGCCCAAGGAGTTTGCCGCGTACATGCTGCCCAAGTACTTCAAACATAGCAACTTTAGCAGCTTTGTGAGGCAGCTCAACTTTTATGGGTTCCGCAAGACAAAGAAGGAGGTGCTGCTGGTTGCATTGGAGACGGATGACCTCAAGAACTCGTGGGAGTTTCACCACGAACTGTTCCACCAGCACAAGCCCCATCTCATGGCCAAGATCAAGCGCAAGACCAACTACACTGAGCAGTTCTCGGACGCGACGTCCACCGGCGACGACATCGACGACCTCCGGAACGACGTCACAGAGATCAAAACCCACCTGACCAACCTCACCGACCAGATCGCGAGCTTATCGCGGCTCGTGCACAGCGTGTGCCACGACTCGTTGAAGCGGAGTCGAGACGACGAAGAACCATCGTTCGTGGCTGAGAAACCACCCCCCCAACAACGCCGGGTCATGTACGAGCAGCAGCAGTTCGTAGACAACTTGCAGTACGTGGACGTGATTCCGTTCGACATGCTCGCCGCGCCTGGAGCCCACACGTACGCGACGGCGTCCGACATGCAGTTGCGCCAGACGTTGCTCGATGCGTTTGCTTACCCAAAGCCCACCTCCGACGACGACGACCAGTACAGAATTGCCCTGTAGCAGCATCCCATCACATTTCCAAAAGCTAATTTATCGAGTAGTTCTGCAATATACTAGTCCCTACTACTAGTACTGTACTACTACCGTAGTTGTACAAGGTACTAGTACTACTAAGTAGCTGGGAATGATAGGAATGCACGGTACAGTAATGATAGAAATGTACGGTACAGTGTACGGTTGGAATGATCCGAATGCACGGTACAGTGTACAGTGTACGTTGAGAATATCGGGTCGTTGTGATAGTGGGACGCAATTGATTGCGCTGGCGAGAGCAATCATACTAAAAAAAGTGCCTGTCTGTCTGGTCTACTATTCCGATCTTCTAGTAATACTAGTCCTACAACCTGTAGAATGCAGTATTCGAGGAATAGTATTCATTACGACAGGTATTCAGCATATCCAGGAACGATGGAAGCGCGGGTAATGCAAGTCCTAAAGCAGTCGAGTCTGCACATCCCAAGCCAGGTGCTCACGGACCAAGATGTGGCCGACAGGATCCGCTTAGACATGCAGAAACGAGCTAGGAAGGTCCGCGACCACGGCGTCTTTGCTTACACGGTAACGTTACACCGACATCACACCATGCATGTTCCTAACGTCGCGCACTAGCAACCCATCGCGCCGACGCAAAACGTCAACAAGGGGTTCCTTCTCAACACGATTAAGAGCGTTGATACACACAACCAGCGGCAGGTGGGTCCGCTCTTCCATTCCGTGCTGCATGCCGTTGCTAACATTACATGTAGGAAGTGGACGCATGCTATCGCAAGCGGCAGTTGGAACAGCATCTCGACGACAACCCTAGACGACAAAGGCAGCGACTCGACACGAGAAAGCGTTCACGATCCCAGGACCGGCGTCCGCCATCGCGAGACATCACGGCAAGTGATCATGTCCACGAGCGCGAGTTCTGGGCGGCGCGGAAGGCGCTCAAGTCGCAAGCCATCTTGGACAAAGTGGGTGATCGCATGTGTTCGGTAGACAACGCCCCAGCGTACGAAAGCGACGAAAAAGCGGCCAAAAAACACAAAAAACGTGCCAAAAACGCCCAAAAAAAGCTCAAAAAGCTCAAAAAGAAGCGCAAAGCAGACTGATTTGACACTTGTTAATGGAGCCATCTTGCACTGGGGTCGTCCATGATGAAACTGTCTTCGTGCGTGCCGCCTTCCAGCAAGTGCGCGCAAAACTCGCGCTGCTTTTCGGGCGTGAGCTCGGTTTTCTACTCGAGTAGTAGTTGGATTAACAGTTAATGGATGCTTTGTTATATCTCACCATATTGGGCACCACAATGTTCACAGGCGAAGATGGACTGGTCAGCTTGAGGCGGCATTGGAACTCCATGAACGCCGCTTCCACGATCAAACGCTCCAGCGGAACACTCAGCACATGCAGCGCTTCCGTGTACATGGCTGCCGCGGTCGTCCACGCTTTGTGTTGCTAGTATGTTTGTCAATCCGTAGTACTACTAGTAGTAGTACTACTACTAGTACCTCTTCGACGTTGGCTTTGGCGAGCCAAAAGATGGCTTTTTCCGGCGCGAGGGGCAAATGCGTCGGAATGTCGGCAAATACGACGCGGGCCCCTGCCAACGAAAACTATTCCAAATATATAAATATATATTTCTCGAAACGCAGACATATATATATATATATATATCCAACTCATATAGTACGTAGTTTTGTACTACCTTGGACGTGTAGATCGCTTCGTCCAAGTGCTGCCGGAGGGCCTCTTGCAACCGAGATGGAAACGGCGTTGGGTGGTCTGTACTAGTAGTAATACTAGTAGTAGTAGCCATCGCCACAGGTGCTGCCTTGAACCACGGGGGCACGTCGTCGTTGTTGGTACTAGTACCAGCAACAGTGCTACTATTACTAGTAGTAGTAGTAGTAGTGTCCAAGTTCACGGTGGGGCTTTTCCGCAGCATGTTGCTAGTAGTTTTGGCATTGGATGGTGGGCTGGTGTTGGGGATGTCTTGGGGTTTCTGCATGAGATCTATCACCCCAGCCTGGCACATGGGGGCAACTTCTTGTGCGGGTTGCTTGAAGTGCGATGATGGCACTTGATGGACGATGCCGTCCTGGGTAGGGTAGGCATGGGAGGACGGCGCGACGGCGGCGGGCGCTTTGAAGTGCGATGACGTGGAGGCGATAGCGGTAGCTTTCATGGGGGTGGCATGGGGCTTGAAGTGCGCTGACGGCGGGATCGTGTGGTGGAGCGTGGTGGTGGTACTAGTACTAGTACTAGCTGTACTACTACTACTACTAGTAGTAGTAGAAAACTCTCGCTCGGTTTCGTTTTCGTCGCGTGGAAATGAAGGCGGGTGGAACGATAGCGCCTTTTGGGCGGATGCGCCCGTGGGCGTCTTCTTCGCCTTAAAGTGCGAGAGGAGACCGGGGGGCTGGCTCGACTTTGGCTTGCGAGGTGGCGTCGAATCGAACGTGAGCTTCATCGGTCCAAACGAATCGTCGTCGTCAAAGCCGCCGCTGGATGAGGATGCGGGGACGGACGACGACGACGGCGGTGGAAACGCGGAGGGGGGTTCGGTCGGGACATGCGTCTTGGACGACTTCCTCAACGCGCTAAACGTGGAATGTGCAGACAGCTTGGGTGTTGGAGTGGGTGGAACCGTGGGTTTGGCCTGTACTGTGTCAAGTCAATGATATGAACCGGAAAGTCCATACCTCCATGGTGGATCGTTGAGGACCAGCGGAATATGTGGACTCGCCAAACGTATCCGTTTTCTCATGTCGCGAGGAAGCTGCGGTTGGTTGCGCTGCGTTGATCTTGGTCCTGTTCAGTCGATCCATGGTCACTTTGCTGACTCCGGCAGTCGAGGGATACGTGCTTGTCGGACGCGACGTCGTGATGGTGGACGACTTGGTGGCATCTACACGTCGAGAGGCGAGGTACTCCGTCAACCTTTCTCGACGGCTGTCTCGGGAGGCGACGCTGGAGTGGGAACTGGAGGTACTTCCCGACGTCGACTTGCTGGATCCTGCCGCCATCATCGCGCGAGTTCAAATTTTGAAATTCACCAGCAGCAGTGGGTAGATTATCCGGATATGGTGAACCTAGGTACCAAAACGTGTAGGATTTCAGTCTCGTTTTGTGAATTGTAACCGCCAGTTCTGCGCCAAAGCCAAGAATGCGATGAACATCCTTCGAGGGGCAAAGTCCTCTGATGATCAGAATCCCTACGAGGTATGTGTATCTGAACCATGATACGTCATGCATCCTCCACGGTACAGTAGTGGAACGCAGAGATATATTCGTGCGTTACAGTACTGGTGTCTTTGGCAGTCTGGTCGGCTTAGTGAAGTCAATCAATGATCCTGCTGCTTGATGATAAAGGCAGGAAGCAGGGTCCATGAAACCAACGAACAAAGAGGACATTTGATCGTTGTAGACGCATCGACGATGCCATACAATATATAGTATTCCTTAACCCCTAAGTCAGACTTGCGCGAGTGCTTAAATGTCGTCGTCTTCATCTGGGATGGGAGCATCGATGGCGGCAGCCAATTCGTGTTCCATGGCGCGCTTGTGGGCTTCGTCCATGATCACCTCGGGCGGGGCAATGGCGGCAGCTTCGACAAACGTCAAGTTGTTGTCGCCGACCAACTTGCGCGCCAACCACAAGAAGGGCTTTTCAAACTGGTAGTTGGACTTGGCGGAAATGTCGAAGTACTGGAGGTTCTTCTTGCGGTGGAACGTGATTTGCTTGGCCTTGACCTTGCGATCCTTGACTTCGACCTTGTTGCCGCACAACACGATGGGGATGTTCTCGCACACGCGGAACAAGTCGCGATGCCAGTTGGGCACGTTCTTGTACGAGATGCGCGACGTCACGTCGAACATGATGATCGCGCATTGCCCTTGGATGTAGTACCCGTCGCGCAAGCCGCCAAACTTTTCTTGGCCGGCCGTGTCCCAGCAGTTGAACTTGATCGGGCCGAAGTTGGTCTCGAACTTCAACGGATGCACTTCCACACCCAAGGTCGCGACGTACTTCTTCTCGAACTCGCCGGTCAAGTGGCGCTTGACAAAGGTGGTCTTGCCGACCCCGCCGTCGCCGACGAGGATGAGCTTGAATTCGGGCATTTGCGCGGCCATCTTGACTTGCGACTGCAGAAACGAAAATGATCATCGTGGGGGCTCGAGCCAACCACGTAACCCTTGCCTCGTCCGCATACAAACGTCAAGTGAATTCGCCGCCAGACAAAAAAACCCTTAACGCTTCTCCCGCGGTATACAAAAACCAATATATTCCCCTACTGGCGTTAACCCTCATATCATTTTCCTGCCACCCGTCCCAGATCCCCACCCGAGCCAATCACAGCCACACACGGGCATTCAAAACGGCGCTTAACGTACGTTGATCTTCTACACACTAACGCCCATATTATATTCCTGGCCACCCACACCAGTGACCAATCACAGCCTAGGATGCCCAATTCAAAACAGATCTTAACGGCAAGCGATGGCATACGACGAAATCCAGCAAGACGATGGATGTTCCTTGCAAGCTACATGCTCCCTGCATATGACAGCGCCGAGGATTCAACCGACTTGTCTAGACAGTGCATATATACCATTCGTCGAGGCAAGAACAATCTCGTGGCAATAAGACTATATTTGAATTCCGGGTATTTTAGCCAATCAAATCCTCGAACTTCTCATTTTCAAATTTTCTTTGCGCGCCATACTCACAACAGCGACAACATCAGGAGGACGCAGTACCACGCGAGAATGGGCGCGACGATGACAGCACATGAGAATGCGACGCTTCTCTTCTGCGAAGGGACGTGGGCATGCCTGCCCAATGCCAGGTACACGACGGACACCACCCCAAGACAGGCATACCCGAGGTAGATGCCCATCTGGTCGGGCAAGGCACACGTGTGGATATGCATTGACGGACTCGTGTAGGGCGAACCTTGCAGCGACAACATAGACAGCTCCGGGTGTCTCTCACCCTGCAACCAACTAAACGTGGCGAGGGAGTCCTCGGTCACGTTGAACGCTTCGTGGTGGTACGTGCACGGCGTGTGATCGTCGCCGCTAATCTGAAGACGTCATTGCGCTGCACCGTTTGAACGATACATTACCTGAACACATGAATAGGTTCCACGGCATCGAGAATCATGGCAGTGAGTTCTGGGGACAAGACATTCTCGTACGAAACCCCCCGGCCCTAGACAACTATCATAGTTTCTTCCATGACGATTTGTCGACACGAACTGGTGCGATCGGCGCCTTCTGTCGTCGCGGACCGCATGGCGAATGCGGCGGTCGGAAGAGCGGGATGTGCGAGAAGAGAAGGCGCGGGAACTGTCGCTTGGCCTTCATGGACCCGTACGTCTGGACAAACGTCATGGCATCCGCTCGAACCGCATCGTCGTTGGAGAGGAGTCCGATGGCGTCCACGACCTACATACATCGTCATGAAGACGACTTGTATGATGCATCTTCGTGATCATCTACCACAATCTCAACATGACCCAGCACCACTGCATATTGGGTCAACCCGAATGTGTCTTGATGACGCTTGTTTGCGTACTTGGAATTCCACTGCCGAATTCCGACGTCATGGTTGCCGCTACCGGTTGCGCCAAACATCATAATATTCGTGAAATACAGAATATATATATATATATCCTAAATATACACACACATATATATATAAATCCTAAATATACACAAATACTAGTATATATATATATAAATTCTACACAAATATATACACAAATATATATATAAATTCTTAATATACACAAATAAATATATATATCGTAAATATACACAAATATAGATATATCGTAAATATACACAAATATATAGATATATATCGTAAATATACACAAATATATAGATATATATATCCTACCTCATGTTCCAAAATTGAATGTGGGGATACCCGCCAAAGATCCACTCGAAGCGTTGTTGATGCATTGCATGTTCGTCCCGCGACAGAACTCTTCCTACGTCGACACGCGGAACGACGTGCGCAGATGGAATGACTTGGTGGATGTACTTACCTCCATCAAACAGATCGCCGAGAAGCATCACGCCATGTGGAGGGTTCGCTTTGCGCGCGAGGAGCGAAAAGTGCCGCCGCATGTACAGGTCCGAGTAGAATTCGGTGAGCCAGAGGACCCAACTTCCCTTGACCATGTCGTACGAGTAAAAGTCCGTCAATTGGGGATCCGCGATCACCGCGAGATGGTACTCCTTCCTGTCCCCGTACGCCCAGTCGCACGAGTGCATGGCATACATTCCAGCACCGAGTTCGCCCCATGCAAAGACAACGGCCCAGACACCCCAGACAAACGACGTGCGGACATGCCACCGCCGCCACCCACCATGTCGCAGAGTCTTGTTTTTCCCAGAGCTATCCTTGGCGCCATCTTCTAGATCAGGCATCGATGACGACGTCGTGTCCGCGGTGGAACACGACGATTGACTCCGCAGTCGCGGCATGTTTGTTGTAATGAAGATTACGTTTAATTCGTTAAACCTCTTTGATTTTGCATTAAAACGTTCTTTGGACATCAATCACAAGCATGATGAATCCGTACATGGCTTAACTTCTTCCTCTCTCAATCGCTTAACTTACAGCGTTACCAGGAACGGCATGCCATCATGCATGCTTCAGAAATGGTGTGATCGAAGGTACACGTTCGGGAAGGATGGATCGAGCGAGCTGCTACTATATCCAACAATCACGTCGAATTTGGTGGTGACGACAGACATGCTCGCTCTGCATGTGCGCGTGGTTCCGCCATGCCGAGAGGACTGAATGGCTCGAGAGAGAGAGAGACGGGATTACATAACTTGGATTGTGTGCCACCACTTGGTTAGTCTATTGGTACAACGGGTCGGGGTGTTGGGTGGGCAGGAGGTTGAAGCGCTTCTTCGTGGTGATGCGTTCCTTGGAGAACTTGTCGTCTGGGGAGAAGCGCGCAGGGTGTGCCGAGTGCGAAGGCTTCCCGGTCGGGTCTTCCTTCTTCAGGGTGTAGCATCTCTTGCCATCGGCGCCGGTGTAGTACATGAGATGCATCTTGTTGGTTTGGAATAATGGCGCTGCACCAACCACGGCGCCGTTCAGTATCCGGAACATACGGATAATACACCCAGGCGAGCCAATGGATTGGCTGTGCCGAATAAGAATCGCACGCATACAAACGTCCATATGATAGTGTCCACTATAATAATAATAATACCTCCATCTGACGTGGCAGCACCACAAGTTAGGATCGACTGGAACTTCAACAACCCAATAAATACTAATAACGTTACTGGTCTGAACACTATATCTATAATTGGACAACTATGGAGCAGCCAAGCTGTGGCAATGCAAGCAGCAGTCCGCCGCGCCCTTTTCGGTCCAGAGTCCTCGAAGAACTCACTCGGAGCAACGACCTGAGCAACGCCTTGACCCCACATATGTGTTTTCAAGTGCTCAAGGCATTGCTGCCGTCAACTCTGGTGGCCACAATGGTCGACGAAATGAACCAGTTTATCTACAAATGTCCCCACGACGACAACAATCGCAGCAACTCGGGCGTACATCTTGCACACAAAGATTTATATGTAGGGCTTCTCGCGCACGTAGAAGACAAAAAGCAGCAACTGGTGGACCTGCGCCAGAAACTTGCTGCGAAACAGCACCAAAACGTCGAGCTGGCCGTCGAAATTGCAATGTACCAGGACAAGCTGGAGCAGCACTATGCCACGTTTGACGAACAAGCGGCCTTGAATGCCATCGCGACGCTCAAACATCGCAGAGTTCTTCGCGAACGGCAGTGCACTGGTAATTTTAGTTACAGCAAAATTCTTCCCCCATCGCAGCAATACCTGCATCATCTAAACGCTAGAGAATGACTATATATATATATATATAGGCTTGATGAAGACCATTGATGAAAAGCAGGATCGCCTCTTGGAGCAGGAAAAAGCCATCAAAGCCGAGCTCGACCGCCTGCGTATGGATGACTGTGCGTACCGGCTGAATGCCAAGAAACTCAAGGAAAACCAGCAATTGCTAGAGTCGGTGGGTCTGCGTTGCTATTTAGTATGGGGATATGGTGGCGTTGCTGACGACGTTGCTTAGATGAATACCCAGAAACGCCCAGATATGAACGCGCCTACCGAAACCGACCTGAAATGTCAAATCAAAGCACTGCAAGCCGATATTGCATCGAAACACCCCAAGCTCCACGACCTGTCAACGCAGATCTTTGCGGTTCGGGTATGTTGTCAATCATCTACTGTAACAGCGTGATATTATGTACTGGAACAGTGTGTTGTTATATACTTTAATAGTGCTGTAACAGTATTGTTATTACTGTATTGGGCGGGTATGTACTGTAATAATGTGATTTTATACTATATTGTGTTGTTATCTCTTGTAACAGTGTTGTTATCTACTGTAACATTGTTGTTATAATAACATGGGTTGGGCAGTTTACTCGCGCAGGACTCGAAAGCCAGTTGCAGGCCGTGGAAGGCAAATGTGAAGAGATCCAAGCCAAGGTGACGGCATACCAGCGGAGCCACACGCCAAGACCCAACTGGGATGCGTTACGGGGTGATGTCGAGTACACGTTCCAATGTCATAACCTCGCGGGAGACGCCAACATCTCGACCGCGGCGCTCATGAAGATGCAATCGAGTGCGCATCGAGTGGAGTATCTGGCCGCGGCGATTGAGCTCATCGGACTGTCGCAAGACACAGGTATGTATTGAGAAGGTTGAAGTGACGTGGCTAATGGGGATGCGCGGTGTAGATGCCATCGATCGAGAGAAACGAGTGCTGCATCATCTCCAAGTCCAAATTCGGAAGATCACAGGTCTCATTTCCACTCGAAGGCAAAGCATGAATGTGTCCACCCAACTCTTGGCCAAGATGAGCGCGAGTACAAGGAATGGTGGAAGTACCGCCGCGGAGGGAAGTAGTAGTGCTGTTGATGCTAAGAAACAACATACGTCATAATACGTGTTACTGCTTGGAGAGATGCAGCACGTGTACAATGGACTCGTCTCGACACATGAATCGCCGCTCCTGCGCGAGTTTATCCAGTTCCGCCTTGATCTCCGTGATCTCCGCGAGGTTGTCTTGGACGCACTGAAACATTGCTGCCTTCTTCATCCCAGGTTTCTTTGCCGCTGCCTTATGCTTCTTCCCGCCTGCATTAGTATCCTCGTGTCGCGCAGCGCCTTTTGCCATGGTCGCAGTTTGAAAAATACCGCCATGTTTGATGTTATCCGGACGTTGTTTTATCCGGATACCTACATCATTAGAAATCATGTTTCCAAGGTGGCACGTTGGTGCGTCCTGCGTCTTGGCTTCAGTCATCTACCTAGCGTACGCAGCGTCAAGACTCCTCTCGGTGCATGCTTGCGCTGCATTTCTGGTGGTCTTTATGGGCTACATCGTCTTCTCATCGCTGCTGCATGTGATCTTCTACCGCCGCGGTCCAGTCCACGTTCGCTCTGTCCACCACGGGTCGTTGATCTCGTTCAATCTCATCATGGCGGCAGCGTACGCCATGGTGTCGACAGAACTGCATGTGCGAGGTCTCAGTCTCATGCAGTTCGACGCGGTATGGCCTTCGTGGCTGGCCATAACCGGCCAAGTGGTGGGCGCGATGTTGGGGGCCAACCACGTCGAGTACTACTGGCACCGCCTCCTCCACTCCCGCTTCCTGTACACCCGCGTCCACAAAGTACATCATCACTACAAGCATCCCCACCCATTCGACGACATGTACATGCATCCGGTGGAAGGCGCCGCGTACTTCTTCATCCTCTACGGCCCTCCTTTCGTTCTGCCCATGCACGTAGTGTCGTTTGTGTTGTACATGATGGTCATGGGTCTCTTCGGAGTACTGGATCACTCGGGCGTGTCTTTCCACCTTCCGTACGTGTACAGCTCGACAGACCATGCTACGCACCACACAAAAGTGAATTCCAACCTTGGGTTTCCATTCCCATATTGGGACCTCGTTCACGGCACATATGATGGAGACTTTGGAGCCTAAGTTAGCCTAGTCGTGGTGTTGAGCTATTAAACGTAGTGTTCGAATGAAAAGTTGTATCGAATTTGCATTGGTATTGGATTAAAGTTATTGTTAGTGTTTAGAGTAGCTTTCAGTTAATTACAGTAATTGAAAACGAGTTCACAATGTCAGTGTACTATTCTGCACTCACTCAAACAAGGTGACATACATTCTCGTCATTGAAAGCAATAAACCAAGACCGGCTCATTACAGCTTTCCACGACGACCACCGCTGCGAGGTGTGGAGCGCGAGACCGCTCGATTGGTAGGTACACGCTTAGCCGCAGTAGGTGCACGCTTAGCCACAGTAGGTGCACGCTTAGCCACAGTAGGTGCACGCTTAGCTGGAGCCGGCTTACCGCCAATGGCTTTACTCAACCCACCCGCCACCTTGCTGACTTTGGAGCTGGCACGTTTCACCTGTGAAGCAGCGCTGCTGACCGTCTTGGCTGCCTTCCCAACCCTGCCATTCACTCGACCGATCACTTCAGTGCCACTTTTCACACCCCTCGCTGCCTTGCCAACCATCCCCGGGCCATCGGTCAGCTTCGAAGCAGCGCGGGCGACCTGGGCGTTGACGCGGCCCACTGTGGAGCTGACTCTAGCCACCCCCGAGACCACATCTGTCACTTTCTGAGCTCCCCGCTGGACTGCCTCTGAGCCTCGTTTCACAGTTTCAAGTCCGTTTTGCACCGACTTTCCAAGCTTGGACCTGATGTGAACTAGCTTCGATAGTGCTCCAGACTTGGAAGTAGCGACAGATAGCGCTGTTCCACTCGACTTGGCAGATTTCGTGGGCTGGTTAGCTCTAGTAGCCGACGTCGTAAGAGACGTCTTCTTCGCGCGAGTGGACGTCTTCTTGGCTCCACCAAGCGTCTTCTTAACTGCTGACTTCTTTGCTCCAATTGACAACCTGTTAGCGTCTGTCGTGGCCGACTTCTTACGAGACGTCTTCTTCGGTCCTGTATTGGTCACTCCACGCTTGGATTGGGTCACTTTAACCTGTGGATTGGTTATGCGACCATCACTCTTCACTCCAAACGCACTCTTGAGGTTGATCGCGCCTCTGCCCAGCACTCTGGTCGCGCCTTGGACGTGGCCTGCGTACTTTCTGACGGCCTTGGCTGCGCTGCCCACATGGGAGTTGTATTCGCGTACAGTATGAGATCCATCCTGCACGCCTCGAGCCAGCCGCCCCACGACACCCGAGTCCCCGGCATACCGGTTGGCGACGGCGCTGACCTTGGCGTTGACGCGCGCAACCGAGTCGGACACGCCAGACACGGCATTTGCGCCTCGATGGACGGACGCAGCCACCTTGTTGACGGCGTTGAGTGCCTTGGGCGTGTTCCGCAGCATGGCTCGACCGAGCTGGACGCCGCGGGGTCCCATGGCCCGCTGAACCACCGCGCGAGCCATCGGCGCCGCCGCGCGGACGACGTACGGGGCTGCCACGCGGGATGCAGCGGCAACCAACGGGACGAATTCCTTGTTCGAGGGATGGCTGCTCCCTCGGAAGGTGTGGTGATGTACTGGTTGGTCAGCATGAGAGAGCAGCTTGCGCCGAGCCAGCTCCACAACATCAGACGATTCAATTGCAGTGTTATCGCTGCCGACGTAATAATGATTGGACGAACTGGACTGGAATTCGTCGGCGTAAAGCCCAGACACAACTAGTACGCCAGAGTCTCGGCCATCCACGGTGGAGACGGCTGCCAACAAGGCGCAGAGCGCGAGTACCGGCAAGACGCGCATTCTGTTCCTGTCAAGTTGGCCTATAATACTGCATCACTTGAACCACTACGAACGACGACATGACAAAGCTGGCGATATCATTTTGGGTCACTGTTTCAATACGTAAAATCAAAGCAATTTGAATGCGTGGTGAGATATACATATTCAAAACACAGATTTAAATTGGCATATTTTGGTTAGTAATAGTGGATAATAGTGGACAATGGTCGACATGGGGTCCTACACAATCCGCACTGATAACCAATTGTCGTTGTGTTGTGGTTTGATTACCTGTAGCTTAATGAGATACTAAAGCAGTAGTAAGTGCTTAGCGTAGTTTATGTGTATTTATTTACACAAGTTATTGTCAAATCGATTCGAAACTGGAGCCGTCACCAGAATCGAATGTCGTATGAGAATGGATAAAGAACCACCTGAGCTAATCAAATCACGTTCTAGGGAATTTCTGCCAATCCAAACGTTTGACTCGACTCTGTCTCTCGGCATTGGGCAAAACCATATATATATTTGTATTGTATAGTTTGTACAAGCTTAAATGGGATAACATGGTCTCGAATGGGTAGAATTGGTTCATAATAACCCATACCTGGGTGTAAACATTCAAAATAGTGTTATCGGTTCATATTACTCATTTATCCGGATAACGCAAAGTGACTGTGATGGAACCTTGGACTTCCGCAGCATTCTCGCATGTGTCATGGCGCGGCTGTATTCCCTTCTCGCGCTCGACTTGGATGGCACTCTTCTCAATGCCTCCAGTAGAGTGACTGCGCGGACGGCCGCCGCCATCCAACGAGTGGCCGCGACCGGCGCCGTCGTGTCACTTTGCTCGGGTCGGTCCATTGCGTGCATGGCGGACTCGGAGCGTCAACTCGGTCTTGCCCACCCCTGCACGATCCTGTCGTGCAACGGAGCGGCGGCCTTCGACTCCCATCGCCGTCCACTCTACGTTGACACCATGTCGGTCGATAGCGTACGCTCCGTCCTTCGCGCCGCCGAGGACATGCATCGGTGCGTAAACCTGTACGACGAAGTCCGCGGGATCATCCACGTACGGCCATCGCACCCCGCACACCACGATCTCATCCATCGATACAGCACCCGCACTGGCGCGCAGTTCAACATCGTCCCCGCCTACGACCTCGACGCCGTCGCGCCTTGCCAAGTCGCGGTACTGGGCGACGACCCGGCCGCCATCCATGCAGCGCTAGTCGATCAGGTGTCGGCGGACCTGCAGGTCAACTCGTACAGCTATTTCGTCGAGTGTGTGCCCCGACACATCAACAAAGGCGTGGGACTCCACCGACTCGCGCAGCACCTGCAGATCCCCATCGCCGAGACCGTCGCGTTCGGAGACGGAGCCAACGACTTGGAGTTCGTGGAAGCGGCGGGAATGGGCATCGCCATGCAGAACGCCATTCCGTCCGTCAAGAGAGCGGCGAACAAGGTCACGGAACACTCACATGACGACGACGGCGTCGCGGTCGAGCTCGAAGGGATGCTCGCGAGGGGTTTGTTTGGGCCGCGGTTGGAACAAGTATCCTCGTATCTTGGATGAAACCGTCTCTATTTTTTCGATTTTTCCAAATCTTTTTTCACTCAAAAAGCAAAAAACAATCTCAGGACCTCTTAAACTTTATACTACGAAACCGTTGACCTTGGTGCCATTTTCAAATTTGCCGCCTACAGCTCCAGCGCCTGCAAAGCAAGCGTCTTGGCTTGAAACTGCGCCAGCACGTCCCGCAGCGCGGCCGCGTCGATCGCTCCCGTGTGCACAAAGAACTTGCGCTCGGAGATGTCGAGCAGGATCGCATGCGGGCCGTGGACGGACTCGGACTTGGTGAGGTTGTGGATCTGGTCGGCGATGCCGCTCTCCTTGTCCTTGCTCGTGAAGAAGATCACCGCCGGCTCGTCCGATACTGTGCACACGTCCCCTTGACACACGACTCCCTTGCTCGACTCTGCCGCGAGGGTCTTCAGAGTCGCGTCCACCGCGACTTGCTCCGCTTCGCTCAGCGACGAGTAGAACACGACCAACGACGGCTTTTCGTTGATGGAGAACCCACCGGAACTCGCGCCTTCCGACAGATCCACGACCGACTTGGGGGCCCACGGAAACCCCTTGGGGTCCGACCGCACCACGGACACCGCGTCCTTGTTGACCACCGGACGGGTCGGACCGCGGTTCGGGCCCAACACGACCAAGTGAGGAATGCCTTCCACGTCGTACACCTCGCCCAGCTCCTCGTACACTGCGCTGGCAGACTCGAACGGAATCGCGAGCCACGGCATCTTCTTCAAGTACCCGTCAAAGTCGCCCTGCGACCGATCGCCGCTCACAAACACAATCTCGAGCTCGTTCCCCGCGGCCTTGGCGGCGGCGTACGCTTCCGCGAGGACGGGCGTGAAGTTCTGGCACGGGCCACACCACGACGCAGAAAAGTACAGACCCAAGTGCTTCCCCTTGAGGTCCGCCGCGCTGAACGACTGGCCGTCGCGGTTGACGAAGTGGTTGCCCAGGATCTGCGGAAGGGTCTTGGGGATGTACGGAAAGTGGAGGCCTTCGGGGTCCTGGGACACCTTGCTTCGAGCGTTCGGGTTGATCGTGTTGCCGTGCTCGTCCACAATCACGAGCGTGGGGATGCCCTGGACCTTGTACAACGAGTTCAACGCGCTGTGGACGTCACGCGCGGCAAACGGGACCGCCACCCACGGCATCTCGCCAAAGTACTCGTCGAACGACGCTTGGTCCTTGTCGGAGCTGACAAACACGATCTCAAACGGCTTCCCGCTGGCTTGCAACGTCTTGTAGTACGTGGCCAGCTCGGGAGTGAAGCCACGGCAAGGCGGGCACCAGTGCGCGCTGAAGTAGATGCCCACGGTCTTGCCGTGGAGGAGTTCCGCCGTGGACACTTCCTTTCCTCCCTTCTGGAGCAGCGTCGGGCCAAGGAGCGGCACGAACGGCGATGTAAAGCCAGAGACGGACATAATTGGGAAATGACGTCGGTCGACTTCGATGGAATCATGAAGTGCTTCACTCACTCTTCCAGCAAAGTTATGTAGCGATTGTACTTGTCGTGGGATCGTATGGTGGGTTTGCACGTGGGAATTTATCTTGAATAAAGTATTGAAACATATTTCGATACAACCGTACAGTGTGGTGGACATCCGGATACCCGTGGCCTCTATCCATCAGGTTTTCCGGCGGAATTTCCACCGCCGTCACTCAAATTCCATCGAAGTCGACCGACGTCATTTCCCAATTATGTCCGTCTTTGGCTTTACATCGCCGTTCGTGCCGCTCCTTGGCCCGACGCTGCTCCAGAAGGGAGGAAAGGAAGTGTCCACGGCGGAAATCCTCCACGGCAAGACCGTGGGCATCTACTTCAGCGCGCACTGGTGCCCGCCTTGCCGCGGCTTCACTCCCGAGCTGGCCACGTACTACAAGACGTTGCAAGCCAGCGGGAAGCCGTTTGAGATCGTGTTTGTCAGCTCCGACAAGGACCAAGCGTCGTTCGACGAGTACTTTGGCGAGATGCCGTGGGCGGCGGTCCCGTTTGCCGCGCGTGACGTCCACAGCGCGTTGAACTCGTTGTACAAGGTCCAGGGCATCCCCACGCTCGTGATTGTGGACGAGCACGGCAACACGATCAACCCGAACGCCCGAAGCAAGGTGTCCCAGGACCCCGAAGGCCTCCATTTTCCGTACGTCCCCAAGACCCTTCCGCAGATCCTGGGCAACCACTTCGTCAACCGCGACGGCCAGTCGTTCAGCGCGGCGGACCTCAAGGGGAAGCACTTGGGTCTGTACTTTTCTGCGTCGTGGTGTGGCCCGTGCCAGAACTTCACGCCCGTCCTCGCGGAAGCGTACGCCGCCGCCAAGACCGCGGGGAACGAGCTCGAGATTGTGTTTGTGAGCGGCGATCGGTCGCAGGGCGACTTTGACGGGTACTTGAAGAAGATGCCGTGGCTCGCGATTCCGTTCGAGTCTGCCAGCGCAGTGTACGAGGAGCTGGGCGAGGTGTACGACGTGGAAGGCATTCCTCACTTGGTCGTGTTGGGCCCGAACCGCGGTCCGACCCGTCCGGTGGTCAACAAGGACGCGGTGTCCGTGGTGCGGTCGGACCCCAAGGGGTTTCCGTGGGCCCCCAAGTCGGTCGTGGATCTGTCGGAAGGCGCGAGTTCCGGTGGGTTCTCCATCAACGAAAAGCCGTCGTTGGTCGTGTTCTACTCGTCGCTGAGCGAAGCGGAGCAAGTCGCGGTGGACGCGACTCTGAAGACCCTCGCGGCAGAGTCGAGCAAGGGAGTCGTGTGTCAAGGGGACGTGTGCACAGTATCGGACGAGCCGGCGGTGATCTTCTTCACGAGCAAGGACAAGGAGAGCGGCATCGCCGACCAGATCCACAACCTCACCAAGTCCGAGTCCGTCCACGGCCCGCATGCGATCCTGCTCGACATCTCCGAGCGCAAGTTCTTTGTGCACACGGGAGCGATCGACGCGGCCGCGCTGCGGGACGTGCTGGCGCAGTTTCAAGCCAAGACGCTTGCTTTGCAGGCGCTGGAGCTGTAGGCGGCAAATTTGAAAGTGGCGCCAAGGTCGACGGTTTCGTAGTATAAAGTTTCAGAGTATTTGAAAAACTGATTTCGATATCTGGCTTCTTATATTTTGGAACGAATTTCCATGTGCCATCGTGAAGTGATGTCATTGGCTGATCTAGTTCAAAAGGTGATTTGATTGGCTGTGTTGTAAAGATTTAGCCAATCAGAAGCTCAAAAGCAAAGAAGGGACGGTCTGAATTCGTTCGAATACTGTATTTCGATTACTAATAATGGAACGACATTATTTCACACTTTTGAAATGGCGTTTGTCGTATGCATAGTTTGTTCAAGTGAAATTCGTACACATGGTACGGGCGGACGACGAAAACCGTTATGAATTGTTATCATATTCCTTCGAGCGGTTCCATGGGCAAGCAGAGTTCAAGTGTCGGCGACGGCGGCGGCGCTGTGTCGAGTAGTGCTATCGGGAAGCGGACTTGGCGGGAGGATGTCGGTGTGTTCGTGCGCTTCTGTCGCCTCCGGTACCTGGCGTATTCTGTTTTGGTGCACTTGATGGGGGCGATGGCGGCGCTCGCAGACGACAAGGTCGACGTGACCGAGTTCAACGCAGTAGCGTTCGTCAAGGTGCAGCTGATACTGTGGTGGGTGCATGTCGTCACGCACTGGTCCAACGATTACTACGACCTTGGAGCCGACTCGCTCAACACAAAGCGGGGGACGTACAATGGAGGCAGCGGCGTTCTCGTCGATGGACTCATCACGCCCGCGTTCGCCTACTACGGCGCGTGGATTGGAACCATTGTCACTGCAGGCTACGTTGCCCTGCTCAATGCCATTGACACCGAAAGCCCGTTTCGAGGGTACTGTTCCATGTATTCTTGCCTCTTGAAGGATGCAATAGCTCTACTACTACTAGTTGACATGCCACCCAACTGAACACATTACTGTCTGCCCAACACAGGCAAATGGCGATGTTAGTCGCCGCGGCCGTTGGCATCTCGTGGCAGTACACTGCGCCGCCACTTCGACTGCAATACCGCGGGTTTGGCGAGCTCTGCATTGCGCTCGTGTTTGCCGTTCTGATCCCACTCGTGGGTGCTGCGTCTCAGATTGGCACTGGCCTCCTGTCGGTGACACACTATATTGGCACGATTCGTTGTGATTGTCCATACTATTAGATACGTTCCAGTGCCCCTACGACCCGTCATGCCCTTGCTCGCCCTTCAGCAGTTTGCAAGAATGATCATCATGAACGCGCCAGACATTGACTCGGACTTGGTGGCCGGGAAGCTGACCTTCACGGCTCGCGTCGGCCTGCGCCGCGCGTCCATCTTGTACACATTGGTCCAAGTAATCATGACTGGACTTCCGCCTATTCTGGTCGCCTATGGACGGATGTCGGTCCCCGTAGCCATCGCGTTCGCGGTGGTGGCGCCCCAAGGCTGGGTCATCGCAAATGACCTACACAGGAATAACATCGCCAAGCTCCCGTTTATGGGCACTTTGCACGTGGCATCGCAGGCGGCCTCGCTTCTCGTCGCCATATCGTGCCTTGCCTACCAACGCTCTACACCCCATCATCATGGTCAAGATTGACGCGTTTAGTAAGTATTACACTATTACTAGTATGTGCAAGGGCTACTCTTGATGTATGTATACGTGTAGTACTTGTGGTAATACATTTGGACGGCCAAAGGTTACTATTAATACTACTCCGGTCCGAACAAATGTATCGACTTCTTTCGTCATTGGCGGAATTTTTCTAATTTTGTGCTAATAATGAATCTAATTGGCTCACCAGAAAGCGCGAAATCTCGACTTTGATTGGATGATTTCCGAGTAAACTAAGACCTTTTTGCTCAAAAGTTATGGCGGCAAGAAAATCTTGTCTCGCTCCTTTGCATACATAACATCCCGCTGAGGTGTCATTTTCCATTTTCGACCGACACGATCAATTGCCCACCTGTTGTACACACACTTCCACCTGCATATATGCCATCGCTACACTCGCGAGCTGCCTGCAGCCCCCGTACCGGGAATCGGAAGC